CAGGAGTATCTATACACGCGTGAGATCGTTTGAACCGGCGAGCATTAACCGCCAACAGGATGAAGACCACATCGAGTACGACTACAATGCAGCAGGTATCGCTCTCAGACCCATCTGCTGCTGCTGGACGGCGTACGGGGTGAAGTGGAGAAGCGCCGGTACTTCACGAAGCATAAGAACGTCGCCAGTAGCCGCCATCTTCTCGGGTATGCTGACAATACCGAACGGGGTATGGGATCAGGTAACCGAGGAACAATGTTACAGACCCTAGGTGACGCTCGACTGCCGCCAATTGCGAGTCCTTGGGACTGCCACTTCGTCCAGTTTGACCGAGGGTCAGTTCGTGCAGATGTTGACTTCGGGGCTGTCGGAGGTTGCGTAGCTTGCTATAGCGACCGCAACATCAGTGGACAGGAGGTGGCGCTGGAGACGATTCTGCGCTGTTCGTGTTTCGTGGTGCTGGTATCCAAACAGATGATGAGCAGTGAGTTGGTTCGAGATCCATTGGCGTTCGCTGAGGGCAAAGGACGACCGATCGTCCCTGTAGAACTGAACAATTTGTCGCTTGGACTATACAAGAGCTACTCCCTCGTACCTGTTCCATTTACCGGCGTATGGAATTGACTCGATAATAGCATCGGTCGCTGGTTATTGCACTACGAGATCGAGGAGGACGACTACAAATCAACATCAGACAGTGAGCAGACTCGCAACTTGGACGTCATTGTAGGACTCGATGACAACCCTTTCGCGGAAGGACTAGAAAATGAGACCGCCGTGGATCAGCTTGCTCCAGTACGTGACCAACATGATGATGATCACGCACTTACAGAGAGGATCCGGCACTGCTAGCTAACACAATTGCATTGAATACTGCACACTGATTTTTTAGTTGCCTACATCTAGACTGACGATCGCATCCAATATGTACTCAAACTCCATGTCGTCGAGATCAAACAGACTATCAACCTCGTGACCCTCGGTGGTATTGGCGTCACTGTCGCAGGTGCAGTCGCAACAGCTTGAAGGTGTCTTGTACAATGGCGTCTTGTACAAGGGTCCACGCGTGGGGTTGGTGTCACCGTTGTTAGTGTAGATAAACGACAGTTTTTCAATGGTAGCGACACGAAGACGATTGCGAAGCTTGGTGTGCGTGAAACCTTGGGTACTCCACAAACGCTCACTTGCCGCTGACGATGTCGGGATACTCAATACCCGTTCAGCAAAATCATGAAGGTTGCAAAAGTCCTCATCTAACAGCCACCAATGAAGAGGTGGATCTGCGCTAGCTTCCTCTCTTTGCTCGGGAGACCACGACTTTTTCAAAGCCACGAAGTTCAGCAATAGTGAGCGGAAGTCTGCTGAGCTCTGCCCCGGTGGAAGGCCAAGGCGCTCCGCGAGCGCCACGGCATCTGCGACCGTGTCGCGTAAGCTGTTACCTTTGAATACCGATGTTTGCTTCGAGGGGTCCACCAAGTACGCAATTGCCGTAACGTTGGAAGGAGGAGAAATGAATTTCCAACGCTCGTCGACCAACTTCACTATACGTTCTCGAACAGAGAAACTCGTCAGACCGGCTGCGTTCGTACTGAATTCTTGAGCATTTTTAAGACGATCAAACTCGTGAAGGATCAAAGAGTTGGAGCACGAATCCGTCTCAAATGCAGCAAGCACACGTGTGATGGGCTTGGTCAGCCGGAGTATGAGCTTTGCGTTCGTCCAAAATTGGCTGTCTTCCAGAATTTCAAGGACAAAGTTCAACTTGTTCGTAGTATCTTTGTCGGTGTAGTGCTTCATTAACTCCGGGTCATTGAACGCTGCCGTAAGAGGCACCTTGTTGCGAGCGACGCTCTTGATACACTTTTCCTGAGCGTACCACCTCGTCGAAACTGGAGTAGACAACTCACCAGTCTTGACACACTTTTTAACTTGGCCACGCTCCGCTCGAACTCGACCCAGCAGTAGATGCCTCGCTCTCACAAACCTCACTATTTTCACAGCCTTCTTGAGAGTACTAGCGAAGAAGTCGATATTGAAAATATCTTTTAGGAGCAAATTGACAGCGTGTGCAGCGCATCCGCTAAACACCACACCTGGGTGCTTCAGTTCAACCAGGTTCCCAGCTTTCTTCATGTTGGGGGCGTTGTCCGACACAACAGCAGTCACCTTCCTAACCCCAGCGACAGCTTCAACTTTAGTGATAACTCGGGATATCTCCGAAGCCATGTACTCGCCAGTATGAGCTTCCGTACCTGTCGTTCCAGACGACCACATCATAGGCCGCATTGTCGGGGACGAAAGTACGTAGTTTATAATACTTTCGCGGTTTACATTCGACCACCCATCTGTGACCAGCGTCAATCGTTTTTGGCGCTGAAGAAGTGCAGCCAATCGAGTATTCTCAGTCGTGTAGACTTGATCCAGAAGGGTAGTCGCAAGACTCTGGCGTGTTGGCAGCTTCATACTGGGCGAAATCGAGTGAGAGCACGACGCATATCAGCGTTTTCAATGACGCGAAAAGGTATCCCGGACGTGTAGAAAGCTCGAGCGATATCCAGATGCATCTCCTTCTCTTCGGTCTTGTTTACGTCGTACTTGGTGGGCGTTTGACGTGCCGAGCCACTGTAGCTTGTGCGTCGAGCCTTCGTTGGAGAAAAGAAGTCGGCTGTACTTCTTAAGCGCGCTTTGCGCTTCTTTTCAGCAACCACCTCGCCATATTTAGTCTTGGTTTGGGCTGATGCTTCGCCGCAGTACTTGATGTGTGGCTACAGGTGTCGCCCAGGCTGAGCATTCATGATCATCTCATTACAGTGCTTGCAGTATACGTCAGGATGCTGCTTTGTCTCGCTCTTGGGTCGACTGACAGCAAATTCAGCCCAAATGGGCTCCTCCTTGCGGCCCATTGAGATGTCTTTAATCGTAGGGGTTTGCGAGGGTGGTTGGGTGAGCGTTTGTGCGGCTGGATAACTTTTTAGTTGTGGGCTACTGGCACCGCGCTATAGCTTTGGCATGTAGTGGTTAGTAGACATCAAACCTCAGGAGACTCCGGTGGACCGCTCCATTAAGCGGAGCGCTTAAAACTGCTTGCTTCAAGGAGGTCTTGCGATCAGGTTGAAGCGATCAGCCTCGGCGGTTGCTGCGGAAATACCGTCTGAACAAGAAAATGTGAAATTACAAAAACAGCAACCACGCATCAAGTATTTAACGGTATTTAACCAAAGTAGGGAATTTAACGTACTTAAAGTTAAAAACGGTAGAAAAAATCGTAACAACTCTACATGGAGTCCAATCAAACGATCTCATTCATTGGCTGAAAATAAACCGACGCTAGACCACTGTGGATCTCGTGCTACTAGGTGTCTCGATCCGCTGATGTCGCTCTCGCTGTCGTGGGTATCGTGCTACTCTCGCTACTGGAATTCCTCTCGCTGCCGTGACGTCGGTGTTGCTCTCGGTGCTGGTGTCGATCGTGCTGCTGCGGGTATGAAAACTCGTGTTGCTTTGGGTGGCATCTCGTGCGACTTCCAGGTCTCGTGCAGTGGTGGGGGCCCGTGTTGGTGTAAAACCACGTGCTGCTTTGGGTCTCGTAGAACATTATCGGGATCCTGTGTGAGTTCTGCTCAGGTTGCAGCATCCTTTTGATAAAATGGAAGCCGCAGCTACAAAGCAGCATGCGCACCAGAATACCGTTTTTCACTGTCTGTACGGTTACTATTTTCTTGGCTACGCAAGAAGGGGGCTGGCTCGTATTTACAACAAAACCCCACAGACCATACGTAACTGGATTTGAGTTTACGAGGAGACGGGGATCTATCAGCGTGTTGCTACAAAGTCTCTCGAACAATGCCAGCGGCTCCGTGCATTTTTCGAAGAGAAACCATTGGCTTATTTGGATGAGGCTCAAGATGCAATTATCAAACACTTCCAGCTTAGTATTTCAAAGACATCTGTGTGGCGAATTATACACAATTTTGGTCTCACTTGGAAAGTGTTAGAGAGGTGGACGATTCATATAAAGGAGCGTGACGTTTTTCGATTTGCGGAAGAGCTCAGCCATGTAAACTGGACTCACCAGAATATTGTTTTTTCCGGACGAAGTCTTCTTCGACAACAAGGGCATGTTGCGAAAGCGTAGCTACGCTCTCCGTGGTCAAAAAGTGGCAATTCGCGATGAATTTCAACGGAAACCAGGGGTCTCGTTGCTCGCCTTCATTGGGACCAATGGTGTCATTGACTACTACGACACGGCGGGTACGTTCGACCGAGTGGAATTCGTGAAAAGCTGCCAAGATTTTGCGTATTCCAAGCGAGCGGCGGTTGGACCTTACCCAAGGGCAAATTCTGTATGAATACTTGATGGGGCGTCCATCCACCGACACCCTGACATTGTGCACTACCTGAAAAGCATTGGCATTGCTCCGATCTTCCTTCCTGTGTATTGCCCATTCTTCAATCCTATTGAATTCCTTTTTGGCTATGTGAAAAAAGCGTTCCAACGTTTTTACGTGGAGTCCAGTGGAAAGGACTTGCCGCCCTTCATTGTTGAGACTTTCCAGCGGTTTGAGCGGTTTAACATGGCTCGAGTATTTGAGCATTGTGGTTGGATGGTTGATGGCTTGTCATCCGAAACCCGTTCTGTTCCGGACATCTACGAAGATCCAGGAGAGGTCAGGTGAGAATAGGTTAGGCTTTCGCCCCTCCAATCGACGACCTTGTGCCTCCCAGTCTTGGCGAAGTCTTTCAATCTCAGCAATGGACGCATTCACGCAGTCGAGAGCTATGCTAGTCGAATGATTGAGGTGGTTCAGATGTTTCTGCAGGCGGGAATTACTTGCTCTCAAGAGACGTAAAATGCGTGGAGGTGGTTGCGCTAGAACAGCATCATCCCATGTGGAGCGATCAAGATTCCGAGTCGCCTCATTGGGCCACATGCGCCAAACGACGGCTTCACCATCGTAAGTAGCACCCCAAACGTCCTGTAGACGACCAACAATCTCACGAAGAGAGACTTCAGCAACTGCTCCTGCCCGATCTGTTTCTGCCGGCCGGATGCAGTCTTTGATGAAAACTTGATGATCTTGCTTCCTGCCAATCCCAACTTCATAGTCGTAAATGAGAAGAGTGACGGTTTTGTCGTGCATGGATTGAAGCCAGATGTTCCAGTCTGCTTCCGATTTCGAGCAGTCAACAATGTTTTTTTTTTTCACTTTGACGAGCATGAACTTTGTCCAACATTCAGTAGTAGCAGGCTCAATACTCCAAGCTCCGTCGGTTTTCACTGCTCTTCTTTTCACGTGGGGGCTGAACTGATCCCAGAGCTTTTGCAATATCTCCTGGAACGACGTTCCACCAGCAACGAAGGGATCCAGCGCGTTGCCGGAGTGTCGCGCTCGCCTACCGTTGCTTTTATTATCGGCTGCACGACCAGTCGGTAGATGTTAGAGGTCGCAGGCTGGTAGACCTCATTAGAAACAGATCTACGATACCGCTCCGGATACGGAGAGACTCGGACACACTCTTGAGATGCCGGTGTTGGCGATGTCGCCGACATCTTGCAGACTGACAGTTTCCAAAGCTGGCAGCGCCTGAAAACCTATCATTTTGAATTTATATAATATTCTATATAGTAGTGGAGCGACTGGCGCGCGATTGAACTTGCACGATTGATCCAGTCGGGCTGAAAATTTTTGAGTAGAACCCACAATACGTATCTCTCCTGGCATTACCAGCAAGGTGAAAAAAATGCTATTGTTATAATTTTCAATATTTTATAAACTTTTCATCGCCACATTAAAAACTGACAAGATCAGTATGGATGGTGACCGAGTTTACCGAATGTGAAATTATATAAAGCAGCAGTTCTCGCCAGTATTAATATAGTTCGACGTTCTTGTCTTGAAGAACTAAGTCTGCAATTCGGTTCTCTTGTGTCAGCAACAAACAAACGTTTCTAAATGAATCTCTTAATATCTGTCGTTGGATCCCTTCAGCTATTTTCCACTATCGTCTTTGGATTATCTTCGTCACTCTTCGTGTCGATAAGAAAACCAGTTAGTTTTCATGTATTCTCGTGTACAGTGATTTTAACTGTACAATAATTACGCGACAATATCTGATACCTGAGCCGGAATGATTAGTGGTGACTCAACGCGAACTGATATGATTAGTGGTTGTGCACCCGTCGTTCGCTTGACAGGTTCTAACTGCGTGGGCTGACGAAGAACAGCCTAACTTTGCCCACACGATATCTAGATTTCAGCGCTAACGGCAATAGATTTTTTTTACTGTAAAGTTAGAGTAACCGTAACAATTTTTGTACGCATTTAGGGAGTATAATGTTGCTATATACCGTACCTCACAAAATATTTGCTTAACAGAAAACAGCAGTTCAGGATTTTCGCGTGCTTTTTCTGTTTAAAACGGATTTTTCTTAACACAAAAATAGCAGATTTTACTTCTTCGAAGCAAACTATTTTAGCTGAGATGAAAGAGAAATAACTTACAACCACCTAAGAATTTATCAAGTAACCCTGTCGTCTTCATGAAGAAGGTTTTCTTCCAGAACAAGCCGAACGAGCGGTACAAGACGCGCGAACAGAGATAAACCGTGCCCAAACTCAAATCCGAATTGTGGTCTCTTTCTTGAAACGGATCTCTTACAGCTGACAAAAAGAAACGATATCTAAGCTGGAAAGTAAAACAATCGATTCCTCCTGGTGGAAAAAATAACGTAGATTGATTAAGTAATTCGGTGGATTCTGTATCAGTTATAAGCGAAGACCATAACGGAAGTCGTAAGGTGGAGTACATGCTCAAAAGACTTGGTCAAGAAAGGACAACGATCTTGCTAGTAGGGTGAAGCAACCTGATATATTGATATAATAAGTTTCTCTCAGCTTAAATCGTCCACAAAGAAAGCATATTGTCGAATGCTGTGTGCATGTACAAGTAAAAAAAAACACGCTCGGGCAATTAACTGTACGCGTGCATGTGGTATTACTATTAACATTTACTTTTCCACATAGGATCTGTGATGGTTTCAGCGTCACTCGAAAATTTTCAACCTGCAATCCAGCAACAACGGTAGAGTGACCAGTAACGCTACCTTTATAGAAACGTGCAGGAAATCGTGCAAACTAGCAGCTCAGCTGAGTTACTACTTTGCGGTTTCCTGTACGTTCGTCCCACTCAAGGGAAATGAAGTACTTCATTTCCCTTGAGTTGTTTTACATTTTAAGCACACCGGCCTTGTAGTCCACCTTCGCTTGACATTAATTGTATAACTAATGTATGTAATGGGTCCAAGCGCGCTTGATGAATAAGAGCGTTTCGATCGCACGAGGTAACTCGCCTGTCGTTTAATGCACTTCACTCTTCATTTATATTTACGAATGTCTTTTTACTATGCAGTTGCCGTTGAAATCTCTTACTTTCACTTTTACGCCGCCAAGCCGAGACAAGGGTACCAGACTTAAGCAAAGCCACTACAAAGCTTGATCGACGTTACCAATGACTTGGAAGGCCTCCTCTTTGCGTCGTGCATTTCTTGGTGCTACAATCATCGCCGCATCTATCGTGGATCCTCGCGGCGCACTAGCTTCAATTGAAGTGGCTGAGGCTTGTGCAACATCTGGTGGTAACTGCGGCAACATCCAAACCGGCCCAAACTGCTGTCCGTCCGGCCAATTCTGTCAACCGTGGAACCCAAGCTACTACCAATGCATCAACAAGCCTGCTAGATGCTCCGTGCCCGAAGTCGGCATTGACTACAAAGGCCAAGATCTCATTAATGGTGATGTGACTGGGCTCAAACTCCCAGAGGATTGTTGCAATCGATGCTCGTCGACTGCGGGGTGTGTGGCATTCACGTTCGTGAATATCGGATGGGATGGCCAACCGCACTGTTACCTGAAGTCCGGGACTGGTACGAAGCTGAGTAACTCGGGGGCGATATCTGCAACTGTCACCTCCAGCACAGCCTCAAACCACATCCAAGCCAAAATACGCAGTGGTGCCGCAAAGTCGAAGGCTGTCAATCTCGGTGGCTGGCTGGTGAGTGAATACTGGATGTCCTGGGACTCCCCGTTGTGGACTGGAGTGCCAAGCACCACGGCATGGCAAGGTGAATATAATGTCATGAAATACCTCGGAAAGACAAAAGGAACTGCTGCGTTCGAGAAACACCGTCAAACCTGGATCACCGAGGCTGACATCAAGGAGATTGCTGCCACCGGTATGCTCAACACCGTTCGCGTGTCTGTCGGACACTGGATTATTCGTGACGCGACCACCTCACCTGGTACAGAAGCAGATATGTTTGCTCCTGGAGGACTGAAGTACCTCGACACTCTGATCAACACATGGGCAGTCAAGTACAACATCGCAGTGATAATCAGCCTCCATGCTCACCAGGGTAGCCAGAACGGCTTCGAACACAGCGCCCCTATGACCATCGGGAACGTCGGCTGGGGTTCATCGCAAACCAATATTGACAACTCGCTCAAGTTTGCAACGTTTCTCGCTGCGAGGTACAGGAACAGCCCGGCGTTCCTAGGTTTGGCTTTGATGAACGAGCCAACTCCACCTATTGACCGAACAGTTCTTCAGAATTATTACATCCAGGCTTATAAGCAAATCCGCGCTACGGGTAACATGTGCATTCTGTTCGTGACTCCGTTCCTGAGTGAACAAGACGCCGATCACCTTTATGGTATGATTGGAGCTCCTCAATACGTGGGCGTGTGGAACGAGATCCATGCCTATTTCATCTGGGGTTACGCCGGCAAGACCGAGACGGAAATACTGGCCGAGCTCGACAAGTATGACCAGACCCACCTCAAAGCCGTACCAACTAACAACCGCCTCTTCATGGGGGAATGGTGCATGGGAGGACCTCCCGATCAGACCGGCATATTCCAGAATTTAGACAACTTTCGAGAGTTGGGCCGGAAACAACTTGCATACTACAACGCAGACATAACGGGTGGTTGGGCTTTTTGGACGTGGCGGCACTCTGACGAGACGATCAAGCGCACGGGCTGGTCGATGCGCTATCTGATCAGGAGTGGCTATCTCAAATTGACCTGAACGTTGTCGCGTAGTAAAGTTGCTACAGGCTGATCGAGATAAGAAAAACCGAGCGAAAATGTTTCCGAAGAAAAGGTTCTAAGCTAGCGAGTGACCAGTTGGCACCACCATAGTTAACAGTGGAGAGCACTTTTACGGATTTGTTACAAGATTTCTTCTCCCTGATAACCAAGTACTTCAAGTAATTGATACCTTGTCAGTTGTAAGTATGATAAGCTGTTGATATGCATGAAACTCCTGTAATCTTAAGTACGTGGAGACGTTGATTTTTTTTTAAATAATGGGCAACTATAATAGGTGCAGCATTGCCGTTGTACTGAGTCTTCACGCCAAGGCAGTCAAAATGGATTTGAGTCAGCATCACCACCAGCGAACGGCGAGACCTTGTCTGTGAGTTCATTTTTAACGTTTTGTTAAGCCACAAAAAAGTAATTATTATTGTCCACAGGACCATACGATAGACCGTATTAAAACCTCGTTTTGGTATCATGGTCGATCCTTGTCTGCCGGCCTGTAGGGCTTGATGCAGGCTGAGAAGGACCTGGTTTGAACCCCATACAAATCAACTTCAACTCGATAATTAGAGTAATGACCCCCTATAAACGGTACAACAAGATTTCCACCCCTAAAACGTACCTTTGCGACAAGGGGGTAAAAAAAAGCATACGAATCTTGGAAGCCCATTGACCGACTAAAGTATGGCGAGTCTCCGCCGCTTCCTGCATCGCGATCCGCCACCTCCAGCGAGCTGGCAACCAGACGAGAGCTTTGCATCTCGAGCTTCACATGCGCACCGCGAGCGCGCTGAGACGGCTCCCAGTTCGCAGCTGGAGGTCCCCAATAATGAGCAAGGCACTGCCATTCCCGTACCCAACTCTGCTCGCATGTCGAGTTTCTCACGCTTCTTCGAGCGAGCGGGTGGTCGCTCGTCCTCATCTTCGTCGTCATCTTCGTCGGATGGCGACGATCTTGAGGGTGCAGGTGAGAATTCTAGATAGAGTTTAAGGAAATTCTGGAACAAAAGTTATTATAACACTAAGCATTGTCTGTAGGTGGCGCTATGACGTCAACGAGTTACTTTCGACCACGAACCATGGACGGATACACCAGATATCTCGAGTAATTGGAGAGAATTAGTATTTATTATGCATATAGTAGATTTTTTACTAACGACTGTCATAATTTTTTTTTGAAATGTTACTGCAGAGCTGCGTTTATGGAGGGATATTTGGAGAAACAGAGCTCAGAAGACCCGAAACTTTGGAAAAAGAGGTGGTTCGTCATGCAGGAGAGTAAACTCTTCTACTACAAGTCACAGGGAGACGTCAAGGAGCAGAAGCCGACGGACGACACGTGCTGTGGCGTCATCTCCATGGAGAACATCGACTCGGTGACAACAGCGGTACGACTTGGTCTACTGCATTTTATAGCAGAGGAAATGGACTGTAGTAGGGCACCCACGTGCCGGTGCTGTCTCTGTCTCACCCGTCCGCTTCTCCTCCTTGCTAACTTGCACCTGCACCCACTCTCCCATTCCATTATCCAGAAGGACTTTGGTGTTGCTGCCTTCCAGATCCGCATGGAAAGTCGGCGGTATGTCTTACGTGCCGAGTCCAAAGACATGGTAAGAGAAAGTTTTCAGTTTAGTGCGTTTTTTTAGAGATAAACTAACATTTTTCCAATTAGATGCACGAATGGCTATTTAATTTCCAGAAATCAATCGCGAATATCGTTTCAGCCTTGTCACGGACTCAGGTACGTCTCTCTTAAGATGCATTGACTACTGACTAGGTCTAAAGGGTCATCGATGTGGGTCATCTTCTGTCAGGCCGTCGCTGCTCCGAACCGGCTTTGCGGTAATTTATCTCGAAGAGTACGTCATTTACCCTAACGGACTCAATGCTCGATTTACTCACTCTCGAGCGTGTGTTTTGCGTGCGGGGAAATGATACAGCAGAGTATGCCCCGCGTGAACCGCAGTGTGTCGTTCGATTATCAGGACTACATGGACCAGTTCCAAGTTGCGGCCTCTGTCGATGATTTATATCGCGGACGTGCAAGTGGGGGATTTTTCGCGTCGACGAGCTTTTCAGATGAATCAACCGGTGGAGAGGGCTCTTCGTCGTCGCGAACGAGTCCTCGGAGGGCTAGTAGTCCGTTGGCGTTTGGTGGCTTTGGACCGCGGAGTCCTCTGATGTTTGCGTTCGACCCGATGGATGATGTACCGGAGCACCACACTCCTCCTGTAAGGCAGAGCTCGATTTCCGAGACGAAAGAGGAGAGTAGCGAGCACGATGGACAAGTACATTTAGGTGGTCGATGGGAGGAGAACGAGAACACAGAGACGAGTGCTGAGGCGCCACCAATAATTCCCACAGCGTCACCCCCGGTCGCAGTAGGCAAGTACGTCCCTCGATATCTACGGAACCGCAGCGCTGCAGAGCCGACCTCACCTCCTCCTCTTCCAGTCGATTTGTCCCCACCTCAGGAGCCTGCACCCGCTCCTACTGCTGGTCGTTGGGTGCCTCGCCACCAAAGAGAAGGATTCGCAGAGATGCAGCCTATCGAGTCGTTCTCCATCAACACCCGCGACTCTTTCCATGAGACATTTAACGAAGACAGCTCGAGTTACTCGACAGGTGATGAGGTGCATGGAGTGACGTCGCTGTTGGGAGTTCGGTCAGCGATGGAGGATGTTTGCTGTTGTATCCCTGACCTCAACGCACATTTGAAGGATGACGAGCCCCATCATCAAAGGCAATCATTTTATGCTTTATTCGATGGCCATAGCGGCGTTCGGGTAAGTTGCTACTGCTCCATTTGATCGTATCAGCTTATGGTTGCTTACATACCTCTATTCTATTGATCTTTTGCAGGCTGCGACCTTTTCCAACCAACGATTGGTACCTTATTTGACCTCGCATGAAGCCTTTATGTCGGATACACGACTGGCTTTTGAGGAGTGTTTTGCTCAGATCGACAAGGAATTTCTACAAAAAGCTGAAGAAGAGGTACGTACTGGTACAGTATAATGCTGAGGGGATAACATACTGACCTGTTTTGGACTGTTACAGAGTCTGGATGATGGCACTACCGCAGCGGTGGTGCTGATTCGGGGCAACCGGTTGATCACGGCGAATATTGGAGACTGCAGGGCAGTTGTGAGTATCGGTGGCCAGGCGCTGGATATTATTGAAGAGCAGACACCTGGACGTCCAGACGAGCGAGAGCGGATCGAGAAGCAGGGAGGTTGGGTGAAAGAAGAGCGTGAACTGCAGTTATCCAAGCTGCACTCGATGGATTTGAGTGACCCGGAGATCCAACAGCGTGCTGAGCGAGTGGTCAAGTGGGTGACGATTTACCGAGTGAACGGCGAGCTGGCTGTCTCTCGCGCTATTGGCGATATTGACTATAAGGGTGAGGCGCTGTCCAAGTATGAGTACTGGGCCTTTCCTGAGGGACACGACAGAGTGTTTCATGGTGATTTGGTCATCTCAGTACCGGAATGTCAGGTATGAAAGCCAGTAAAAGCCATATTAGTGTCGAAAGACTAACGGTTTGATGATGTACAGGAAATCGAGATCACTCCGGAGTTTGACTTCCTCATTCTCGCATGTGACGGACTGTGGGACACGATTAAGAGCAAGGAAGCTGTGAAGTACGTCGCTGACAGGCTAAATGAAGGTTACTCTGCTAAGGTACGAGGGTTATTTCAATGGGATATGCTTACCTTGATGCAACTCTAAGCCGTTTGTCGTCTTTGGTGACTGCAGCAAGCCAGCCAGTCTTTGGCAAACTTGGCCATTCGGTCGGGTTCGTCCGATAATGTGTCCGTCGTTATTGTACTGCTCAACACGGAGCAGATGTCCAGCTCAATAGATGCGTTCTCAAGGCAGTAAGGAGCCTGATCCACACACCAAGTCACACAAGCTACACCAGATAAAACTGATAAGTGTGCATATATACGTTTTCGTGTTTCCCTCCATCCTGTGCTCAGTGTATTAAGCAAACTTCCTTATTTGTCGACGGCTGCAACAAGATCTGTACATACGTAGTATATGACAGATAAGGATCAGTCATACCTTCACGTCATAGCAAACACATAAGTATCATACCTTGCACAATTTTGCCGAAAGCTGGGGCCGCGACAGAGTCCGGGTATTCCTCTAGGAACGACACACCTTCTTCGCATGCACCCGTCATCTTGTTGTCCAGTGGCAAGCGACCAAGGAACGGCACGTTAAACTTCTTGGCCATAGCCTCACCGCCACCAGTGGACGCAGGGAACACTTCCATCTGCACTGAGTGCGTCAACAGCTCCGGAGCTTTCTCTTGCAGTAGCTACATACAATTCAGAGTTAGTACAGCATATGACCTACATTCCCACTGTTCATCCACGTCTCACCTTCATGAACGCCGCCGTCTGGTCGTTACCGTCGGCTCCCACAAATTTGACGTCGCTGAGTGGACGCTGTACGCCACTCATGTTCTCGACGACGCCCAGTACGTTGATGTTGGTCTTGCGACAGAAGTTGAGCTCTTTACGCACGTCACTGAGTGCTACCTCCTGGGGTGTGGTGACCACAACAGCGCCGTCCAGATCAGCCTCTTTCATGTACTGTACGATACTGATGTGCTCATCCGACGTTCCTGGAGGGGTGTCAATGATGAGGTAGTCGAGTTCTCCCCACTGCACGTCCACGAGGAACTGCTTGATGATGCCGCTCTTCTTGGGGCCACGCCAGATGATGGCGTCATCAGCGTTGGGCAGCATGAAGCCAATGGACATGACGCCCAAGTTGTCGTCCACGTAGACCGGAGACCAACCGGCCGCACTCTGATGCACCTCCTGACCCACAAGGCCGAGCATCCTGGGGACACTGGGGCCTGTAATATCCACGTCTAGAAGTCCCACTTGGAAACCCTTGCCGGCCAAAGCGAAGGCCAACTGACAGGCCACTGTACTCTTGCCTACGCCGCCTTTGCCCGACAGAACGAGTAGCTTATGCTTGACGCCCGCCAGGCGCTGCTTCACGTCCGATACAGCAGGATCCGGCTGTCGGGCCGCACCAGATGCGCATAGGCTCTGGTTGGGACAGCCAGCGCAGCCGTCGGCCTTGCCGGCTTGCTCGGATTGCGGGCCCACGCACTCTTCGTTCGCGTTGGCAGGTGCGCTCGTCGCCATAGCTCGGAAATTGATAAGTGACTTGGGCTGGTGGAAGTGGCAGTGAATCGGTTACATCATTCTTACACTATTTTACGTGGCTGGTGTGGCAGAATGTTTTGGCCAATCACAGAAGAGAAGAATGATGGTGGTATACGCTATCATTGATACATTTTAGCGTCATATGCTGCTAAAATGTGCATGTAGCGATTCACGGTGGTCGTAAGGTTGGAGGTTTTGTTACCGTGTCGAACAAAGACCGACTGTCGAAGGGATACTGATCAGTTTGCGTGAGCAAGGTTATCGACAAGGCTTGCTAAATTCATCACGAATAATCCATTTTCAAGGCTATTTTTTTTGCCATCCGAAAGGTGGCGTCTCTGGCCAAGCGAGAAAGTTGAAACAGCATCGCTGTCGATCAATGCATATATTCTCAAAAGTAGTGCTCGCAGCGAATGCTCACAGTGCTGACAGTGGCAGACATAGCGCGGAACCACAATTAAGACATGGAACCAAAAGGGTTAAGAAAGCAGCATGTTCTGAGCACACATGGAGGCCACGTGCCAGGAGTGTTGTCCATCCCGATGTGCTCGTCAACCGCTGGATGACTCAGGTTTGCCGTCGTCCCGAAATATGTCTATGATTGGTTGAAAACAAACTAAACTCGCTCATTGGTCGAATTCCTCACCTCTTTGGTTGGGCGGGCTTCTCCTTCATTTGCTCACCCACCGTAGCAGTAGCTCCGTCCGTCCGTCGCTTGGTCTCTTTCTCCCCCTCCAGCTCCGCGTGCAGCGTCTCCTGGCCGTCTGCATTACCTCTGTATATCTGCATTTGCTGTCTGTCCAAAGTCCAAAAGAAAAACAACGTTATCAAGCGGCCAGACGCTCTAAAACCGGCCAGAAGTCTAGAAGCCGATCCAGACCAAGTCAGACTCGTCGATCATGAGTGATACGTGGCAGCCGCAGCCTCCGCTACTCAATGAGGTGGTGGCCCTACTCCAGGCCTACATGGTGCCCAACAACCAGGTGCAGCGCGATTCCTACCAGCGTCTGCAGCAGTTCCAGAAGAACCTCGAGTTCAATCTCTACCTGGTCCACTTGCTCTGCTCCGCACAGGCCGAGCCCAACGTGCGTCAGCTGGCCGGACTCCTGCTCAAGCGCAATATCAAGTCCCGCGATGCCAGTGCCGTGCTGACCCCCACCGAGTCCGAAATTCTCGCCGTCATCAGGGCACAGACGTTGCGCGTGCTGGCCGACCCGTTGTCACCCATCCGCAACGCGGCCGGCTCCATCATCACCACTTTTGTGTCCCAATACACCTTCCTGGACGAATGGCCCGAGCTCATGCCGGCGCTGCACGTGCTTCTGGAGCAGCAGGACGAGAATGCCGTGGCCGGGGCCTTCGGCGCGCTCGTCAAGATCTGCGAGGACTCGGCCGCCAAGCTCGAGAACTCGCCCAGTCGGCCACTGAACGTGCTGGTGCCCAAGCTTCTGCAGTATTTCCACCACCAGAACGCCAACTTCCGTCGCGACGCGCTCGAGTGTCTTAACAACGTGCTGATCTACATGCCCGTGGGCCTCGTGGTGCAGATGGAGAACTTCCTGGCCGGCATCTCGTTGCTCACACAGGACCCGTCCAACGACGTACGCAGACTCGTGTGCAAGAGTATCGTCATCTTGCTCGAGGTGGGCGTGCAGTACCTTGTGCCGCACCTGGACAGCATCATCCAGTTCATCCTGCGGGCCAACCAGGACGAGGACGAGAACGTGGCCATCGAGGCCTGTGAGTTCTGGGCTTCTTTCTGCGATCTGCGTGAGTTCAACGACATCAAGCCCATGCTACAGCCCTATCTGGGCCAGATCGTGCCACTGCTGTTCCAGCGCATGGTGTACAGCGAGGAAGACTTGGCAAACTTCGAGGCGGAGGAGCAGAACCAGAATGAGAACGTACCTGACCGGCCCGAGGACATTAAGCCCATTTTCCATCGCAAGGCCGGCGGTGGTCATGAAGGAGGCGGCCTCGATGACGACGATGACGACGACGACGAGGACTACGACGACGACGATGACGACTCGATGCTGGAGTGGAATCTTCGTCGCTGCTCGGCCGCTAGTCTGGACAATCTGGCTAACGGCTACGGGAACGACATTCTACCGACTCTGCTGCCTTTGCTACAGGAGCGTCTGGCACAGGAACAGCCGTGGCCACTCGTGGAGAGCGGCATCTTGGCCCTGGGCGCCATCGCCGATGGCTGCTACAACGGTATCACTCCGCACCTGCCACAGCTGTATCCGTTCCTGCTGCAGAAACTGGAGGATCCAGCCCCACTTATCCGGAGTATCACGTGCTGGACGCTGAGCCGCTACGCGACGTGGGTCGTTGAACAGGGCAACCACGAGATGCTGTTTAAGCCACTTGTAGAGGGCATGTTGAAGCGCATTCTGGACCCACACAAGAAGGTGCAGGAGGCGGCGTGCTCTGCGTTCTGCACGCTTGAAGAGGAAGCTCGAGAAGAACTGGTGCCGTATCTGACGCCTATTCTGCAGAACCTCATGTTCGCTTTTGGCAAGTACCAAGCCAAAAACCTGCTTATCTTGTACGACGCCATCGGAACGCTCGCAGACTCGATCGGCGAGCACTTGAACCACCCGGAACTGATCAAGATCCTCATGCCTCCGCTTATTGCCAAGTGGAACTCATTGGACGACCGCAGTCGCGAGATTCTCCCGCTGTTTGAGTGTCTGGCCCCCGTGGCGCAGGCGCTGGGCAACGGTTTCCAGGAGTTCGCGATGAACGTGTATGTTCGCTGCCAGCGTATCGTGGAGAACGAGCTGCTGGCCGACGCCATGTCGGAGCAAAGTCCCAGCGAGTTCGACGAGGGCGACCCGGAGCTCATTGTGTGTGCGCTGGACCTGATCTCGGGTACGATTGAAGGTCTGCAGAACAACAGCGAGGCGCTGCTGAACGGCTCGAACATCCTGAATCTGCTCATGAGCTGCGTGCGTCACGACGTGATGGACGTGCGACAGAGCGCCATGGGCGTTGTGGGCGACCTGGCCAAGCACGCACCCAACATTCTCCGTCCCAGTCTTGGAGATCTGCTGCCAGTGTTGATCGAGAACATCGACCCGGACCTTCCTACGGTTTGCAACAACGCCAGCTGGTCGGTGGGCGAGATCGCCATTCGAATTGGAGCTGAGATGGAGCCGTACGTCGAGAACTGCTTGGGCCGCTTGATCAGTATGATCAATCGCCCCAAGCTGCCGCGTAACCTGGTGGAGAACTGCGCGATCACGATTGGCCGACTCGGATACGTATGCCCGAACGTGGTGGCCCCGCACTTGCAGGAGTTCGCCAAGCGCTGGTGCCGTGCTCTCGCCCACGTACGCGCGCCGGAGGAGAAGGAGCACTGCTTCTTGGGCCTGTGCTACATGGTTAAGGCCAACCCGAACGGCATCGTCGCTGACTTCATGTTCATGTGTGGTGCCATCGCTTCGCTTGAAGGTCAGCAGATCCAGAACGCCGAGTTGAAGGACATGCTGTACCAGATTGTGCACGGCTTCAAGACGAGTCTGGGCGAGAACTGGGCCGCTTACTTTGCGAGCTTCCCGGAGCCTTTGCGGCAGTTCCTGACCACTCGCTTCAACCTGTAGAAAGCGACTGGGCAGACCAAAGTGAAGTAGAGTGAAGATGACCACAAGAACGTAGGCTACGAAGAAGCAGCTAGCGTGCATGGTAGAAATCAGGAGTCGGTCACGGTAGGAGTAGCAGTAGGCAGATAGCAGTAGTTAGTAGTTAGTCGAGAGTAGGACGGTAGAGAATAGTAGATAATCGATCGATCCCCTTAGCAGAAGGTTGTAGGTACCAATTGTCATTCTTTTTCACAAAAAAAAAAAAAAAAGTGTTGTCCGATACAATTAAAACTCATTATTTTATCTAGCACGCACCTCTGTATTCTCAGGCAGCTGAAGCATCAGGCATCTCGACGTCTTGTTGAGTGTCTGCGTCATTTGTGGGTCCCTTATCAAGTGGTTTCTTCGGAGATTTTCTTCTGTTATGGGGCGTGTCAATTGGATCGTCGAACTTGAAATCTCCTGCAAGAAATTCGTTCCATATACGCGGAGTCGAAGAACGTCGCGTATTCTCGCTTTTACCCGCTGAAGGTGTTGGTCCTGTGTCTATATCGTCCATCTTGGCGTCCCCGGAGTTTGAAAGCTTTTTGCCTTGTTGACCACGAGCTGCCGACTTTTTATTGCCAGGACTGAAGAAACCAGCAGATCCTGATGGCAACAGTGTTGGTGAAAATATAGGAGACGGCAGGTTGGTTAATCCAGGAAACGGTAGCGGCAGTGCCGGTAGTGGCGACTTCTCTTCACTTTCAGCTTCTTTCGCCAGATAGTCGAGAAATGTCGGACTGAGCATAGTGATCCCGCTGCCAGAACCTCTTCTGCTTCGCGTGCTACTACCTGATGCTTCATCTATTCATACAAAATATACAATGTTTATGAGATTCTAGCACGCACAATGTCATGTTTCAGCATGAGAAGCTCACCTTTGCCTACGTTTCTAGGCGGGACCTCAATCGGTGGAGGTGGAACTGCACGCTGACTGAGCGTGGATGTTGGACCATGAGGCCGCACAGCTGTTGGGCCACTAGGAACGCTATTCAATGTGGGGTTTGCAGGTACAGCAGCTCCTGCTCCAGACTCGATGGAGGCAATTTCTCCTACCATTTCTTCGTAGCGAATACGAACGTCGTTAACAGTTTTACCAGGTATGGCCGCCGCAATTCGGGCCCACGGGTATGATTTACTCCCGGCCCAGCCTGCCAGTGCTACCTCGAAAGCTTTTTCTTCATGAAAAGTCCAGGGTTTAGACCTCCTTCCGTTTCGACGGGAAGCAGCAATCCCTGCCTGATGTAGATACTGCAATTGCAATTGTTGGTTGTGGAGGTACGCTGGACCATGGACATTCATGGACTGCGCACACTCCAATGCTGCGGCACTTAAGGCACTGCTACCCCCGGTCGGAACTGAAACAAGCCTTTTGCCGCTCTGAACTCTGGATACCTGGTAGTTCTGTCGGTTTGGGTCATTCTGGCTGCCTGCGCTGAATAGGTAGCGCCTAGAACTCGTCGCTTCGGGAGATGATGGCAGCGACTGAATTAGTCGCTGAAGATATAGCCGTCCGTGCAAACGCACTTCCTCAATGGTGCGTGAACCCACGAAAGCTGCGATAAGTCTCCACTCGTCTCCTGTCCGTCGTGAACCGTAGAGCTCCAGCGCTTGCATGAATCGCCCGTGCTCGTCTCGACGCCACTCCGATCTGCTGCTGCTAGCGACTATCGAAAGGTCGTTAATCCCATGGAGAAGTCCGCTATTAGTGCGACCTATTCCTGCACTGGTATCCGTCCCTGGTGGCATGTCTTGTTGCATGACAGCTGAAGTAGGCACCCGGGCAGGGTTCATCCTGCAGTCTCAGACTGGGATTCACTCAATTTGTTGTCTGGCAATCTCCAGACCAAGATGATGACTACCAGCTGAAGCGAAATACTGGAAAGGCCGCTTCAAGCTGACCGGACGCAATGTAAGATACGGTATTGATCTCACTAGCCTGGCTTTGTTAGTAAGGGCGACGGTAGAATTCGAGACTCGTGGTGCGGCGGAACAAGCCGGACGCCTCTCGGTCGCTCCGCTTTGCAATAGAGAAAGCCTCTCTACTCGTCGGTGTGAGCTGTCGACAGAGTAAATCAAATAAATGAGTCGTGTCGCTCTATCGTTCAAGGGTAGTGAGTGGTACGTGTGCGTAAGCTATGAAAACAGGAGACCGCTCACACGTCACATATTTTGGATCGCGCCGTTTCAGGATTAATTGTGTAGGTACACAGGAATGTAGCCATCTGAAAGGCACTATTTGTAGCACATCCAAGCCGTCTTGCGTTCTTGCGAGCAAGGCAATCCAAGATACTCTGATTGATATTTCACTTGTAGCTGTAAAGTGTTGGTGAATACTGAGAACTTATTGTACGAAGGGATGATCTTCTCGGCAGATCGCTCAATCGTAAATGATACGTAGCCAAGTTGGCTAAACCAACGTGCAGCCATCTACATCTACGCTCCGAATCGCGCCAAGAGTTCCTGTGCTGCCTCCTTCAGCACTAGCACACACGGGATATGTGCTTGATCCCATAGAACATGCCTCTCTTGTGCTGCAAACCCTTCACCTCGTATCTTATCGGATCCAGGCACACAACTCTGGTCAAACCCGCCAGCGCAGTGCCCATTTGCATCGGCGATAATGAGTCCCAAAGCACCAGCTCGCTGAGCGTGGTGTACCTTGAACACAAGCGGTACTCCACCTCGCACTGCCAGCAGCACTCGATCACGAACAGCATGAACATTCTTTAACGGTCGCGAAGCATCGGGTGGATCTGCCAGAATCAGCTCGGCCGATACGTCAAACAACCGTGGACTGTAGTGACCCGTCCAAGCTTCAAACGTGCGCTCCACTGCAATGACCCCTTCGCTATTGTTACTAACAATCTGCACTTGTTCTCTTATATCGGACAATACCACATGAGTCAGAGTGTCGTCTTCAACTTGCGCTCCTGAGGCTCGAAGGATACGATGTGGATCTTGGGCGATTAGTGCGGATAAGTCACTTTGCGAGAGGATACTAACTCCAGTTACAGCGGTATAACCGGGATTTCCCACACCTTTTAGCGTCGGAATAACGAAGACTTTAGAGTTGTCTCTATTTTCTGAGAGTCGACGTGGCGGAGCGATCGCTACTCGACTACTGCGGTGACTCCAATGACCAGCACCCAATACATTCATCGCAGCAACGCGAAACGTGTACGCTGCTCCAGGGAATAACCCACAGATCTTTGTGGATAACCACAATGCGCCAGACGTTAACCTTTCTTGAATAACTTGGTTATTACCGGCACTGGCATTCACTGCGATAATTCTCTCGTGTTCACGAACAAACGCTCCATTATCTGCACCTCTGCCAGTATTAAGATCCCCTCCCTCTCCTCTTCCCGGTAGTTTCTCTGTTGATACGAGATACAAGTCAATGCTTTTCCCTCCGTCGTCCTCTGCGTCAAGCCATCGTAGATTCACACACGTCTCCTCCATACTGACAACCTCTGGAACACCGCGAATATGGGAAGGAGGGGCACATGGACTAGTGACAATACGGCGAGAAGCTCCACTCGCAGCACCTCGAGCTTCGCCCACAACAAGACGCACTGCAAAGGAGTATGCAGTCTCGGCTTGTAGTCCAGTGATCACTGCTTCAAGGTCACGTCCATCGAAATCGTCCCCGAATAATGTCGAAGGCATTCGACTACGTGTAAGCTGGTCGCGGGTCACATTTACAGCCTCTTCTGTCACTTCTCCGATCTGGTCCTCGCGCTTCCAGCTCACCTCGTATCCGTAGCTGGTAAGGTCGTGTTTGAGAGGCTGGTAGAGCTCTTGCCAGCGTAGTGTGGCTGTCGTACGAGTCGTATTAACGATGATAGGTGGCCACGTTACTGGTAAAGTGAGAGACGAGATGTACCGTTCCCACCGCTTGTCATCCTGCCATTGTTTAAGCCTTTCGCGACGTGATAATTGCTCTTCTTCGCCATCGTGGTCGTCTCTATGTCTTCGGTTTTTCTTGGTTAGATATGCGGGATCACGTGGCCATTTGATGTAGGAATTCCAGCTAGTATCACTAACTGTTGGGCGGCGTGAGAAGGAGGTGTCGAAGCCTAGAGTCTGAAGTGCATGGAGTAAAGCGTAGACTCCCTCGTCTTTACGCTCACTTGTCATTAGCAGGGCATCTAGACCAGTAGATTGTTTAACTTCCTTGACATTAGCAGCATCGCAGTAGCAGAAACGCAGTAGTCTTGTCGATTTTGATGAGGTCAGTGAACGCATTGTCGAGACAACACTGCCAGGGGCGAAGAGCACGTCTCCATGCTTCAGTTCAGCGCTGTATAACTCCGGCACTCGTCGGAAGTAATCCGTGTCTAACACCGTCGCATCTTCTGAATCTGTCGCCACATTAGCGTCAGCTCCTATCGCAACTTCTCGTAATTGATCTTGTATTATAGCAGGCGGCGTGATAGGCTCGAACTTGCGGTCAAATATCGATACGTGCGTAGTAGCGGCGGCGTCGAGAGGGATCGCCAGCATGTGCAGTCCGTACGGACACGCCACGATCTCCTTCGTATTTGGAGGAGTCTCCAGCTCTGCATTATTGACAGGGGTGAGGTCAATAATAGCAGGCAGGAACGCCTCGTATCGAGATGCATTGGTGCGTTGCACGTAGTCATGTGTCATGTAGATCGGCACACGAAAAGTGGCGTCTAGAATGGTAGCACACTCCTCGTGTTCAATACGTATCGACCATAATTTGAAGCCATTTTGTTCTTCAGCCTTCGGTCCAAAGCAAACGTATAGAAATGTCGCCATCACGCTCGAACTAATAGCAGTCTCTGCATCGCTAGTCTGTAGTCCCAGCAGCTGCGCCACGGGGTCCTTCTCGTCCTCCTTCAGCTGTAGCACCACTGGACGAGATTTCTCCGCGTACAGCTCAAAGAATTCCTGGAAACTCACGTCGCCTGCACCTCTCCTTTCTACCTCTTGCTTAGAATCCTCTCTCTGCTGGGATAAGACCAGCGCCTTCCGCATCTCTCGGGCGTGCTGCCGCTGTTGTCGCACATAGCGCAGACGATTGCAGTAGGCCACGTCGTCCGCGTCCAGGGCTTCCCAGACACCTATATCTGCATCGGTGGCTGTATCGTACATGATGGAGGTCACGCCGAGCTCCCGGCATTGGACGAAGGCGCGCTGAAGTCGCGCGTCCAGATCGTCGCTGTCCAGTGGAGCCATTAGCAGCTCCTGCAGCGGCATCTCGAGCTGTGCGTCGCGCTGCAGCTTAGCGTACTGTTCCTCTGCATATTCTCCTTCCAAGCTCTGCGCTTCGTACGTCCAGAGTACCGCAGACAGCAGCAAGATGCCGAGCATCTTCGTGCGCGTCAAGGGACGTATGCGACCATCGAAGATACACAGGATGCCTCTCTATGATGATATCGATTTTGAAAGTCATAATCGTTGTGTGACAGTAGCCTGGCTTCGCAGATGGCTGCAAAGGAGGGAGTCCACGATGTGGGGGCAAGAGCAATGCGGCGGTCACTTTGAGAGCAACTCTGGTCCACTTTGGTCGCGAAAATTGGTAGGCTACATACCGAATGCGAATGTGTGGAGACTTTTGCTGGAAGCCGTATTTGTGTTGTATTGGCTTAGTGCTATCAAACAACTTGGTGACGGGATGCCTTTCCAATTCAGCTCCCCCTTTCGCGGCGCTGCTAATGTATCGCAGACTTTTCTATTTTCTGCTTTTCTAGTATTACTGCGTTTGTTTTTTTTATAGATTTTTGACCTGGGCACAGCTGGAACCGCGAGCATAGGGCACTTTGGTGGTCTTGCTTCTCGGACAGCGAAAGCTGCAACGTCTGCTGTTTCACGGAGAGAGCAAAAGGTGAGATGGCCACCTTCGCTATTGTCCGGCGGGCCATCTCGATCCACAAATTCTCACAATAACTGGGTCATAGGCAGTCTCTGGCACTTCGACGTAGAGAAGGGAGGGCGGCAGCCGGTCCTTCCCGCTTCCATCCAGGCTTGTGTGACACAAGTTGTGTAGGCACCGCTTCCACTGGTCATTGGAGGTGGCTTCCGCGGCGTGGAGTCGAGCATTTAAAGTTCTCGTTAATGCATTCAAATGGACGCTGCGACCGCCGTCTGCTGCTTGGTCGTACTCTTGTTTGAAATGTCTCCACCACGCACATGTTGCGGAGTGCACCCACGCTCAGCCTCGCCTCTGTGCGGTGTTAATTTCGCCTGCACGTGCACCCGAGATCGGGGGGGGGGGGGCGGGAGCCTTGTGCCTAATGCTGTAAGGATTCTCTACGGCAAGTGGTGGACGTAGAAAATCAAGCCGCAGCAAGTCGCAAAGCTCGCGTGTTCAACTAAATCAGATTCAAATATACTCGGCTATGCTGCAGCAGACCAAAAGTAGCGGTCTCACGTCACCAAAAGCACACAAATAACTTGGTCGAAATGTGGATCCCTGAATACCGGTATGGGCAAAGCCAGGTCGCTTCGCACATCCCTCTTTCTCAAGACAAACGATACATTTCCCACCACCGACCGCCTTTCAGTCCCAAACTGTTTTTTTTCATTTCGCTATTAGCTTACACAGAGGCACGTTACTTTTCCTACAAAAAATCGAGTAGGATGGGCTTGCGGCTCATGTGCGTGGCCGGCGGAGCGCTGGCGCTGCTGCTGCTACTGCTGACGGCCGCTATCCTACGTCTCGCGGTGATGCTGGTGCAGATCGTGACGCTGCGCTACACACTGACGATTGGTGCCGTGGTGCTTGCTTGCTGGTTCGTGGACTCGCGACGACGACGCTACGCTAGAGGTTTTTACTCGTGCTCGCGTGTGCCCCAGACGCAGCGCACGGAGGAGAAGACGCAGATAGAGGAGGAAAATGAAGCCGAACAACAGCCAAAACAGGAAGAGCAGACGCCCGTGACCGCAGCGGTGGCGCCAGTGGCGCGTGAGACGCTCGAGTCGTTCCCGGTTCAGCTCAAGAAGGTGGCGACGGCACCACCATCTGAGACTGAATCTGAAGATGACGACAGTGAAGTCGGAGGAGCTTCCAACGTTAATAAGACGCGATCAAACTCCCCTTCCAGACACAGCCAGAGCCTCCTGGACGTGCGCACTCGCAGCAATACCACAGACGGAGAAATCCAGCGAAGACTCGCCACACGCCCTCGCTCCTCGTCGTCGGCTAGTGACAGCAGATGCAGTAGAACCACCTGTAGAGGAACAGGACCGCGCAGTTTAAATGCAGATGTAAAGGAGAGGAAACGCAGAGTTCCTAGACGGCGTGCGGACACGGGTATGACGAGCAGTACCAAGCACAACGAGCGCTCGCGACGCGCTACGTTCGCATCCAAGCAGGACGCGTACGTCGCCTCGAGCAGATCCAGCTCCGACAGGCTGGAGGATGCGCTGCGCTCAGACGGATATTGGATTGGAGATTTCCGCGTGCAGCGCCGGCTGGTGTCACGCCGCAGCCACGCCAACAGCCCCAAGGCCAACTGAGGTTGATGAAGAGGACGTTAAGTTATTTGTGCATTTTAATCTACAGGATTGTCTTGCTATTCTACTACTAAACTTAGTAATAAACACCCTATCAACGTCAATCCCTAAGCTTGTGCTTTTCGCTGCTGCTGCGCCTCTGCTTCCATCGCCTCGATGAACGCTTGCTGCCGTCGCCGCGGGATTGAAGACCGTGCTGGCTCCATCGAAGCGGGCGGGCGCATCCTCGAGGTGCTGTGGGATGATGACGATCTCTCTTTAGTCTGCCGATCGCTGTTTTCCTTGTCGGATTCACCCACGGCCGTTATAGTATCTTCGTTACTTGGCTTGTCCTCTTTGCTCTTCTCTTCCTCGATCTTCTCCTCCACTTGTGGAGATGGGAACGTGATGGGCGAGAGGCCGAAGGACAGTCGCAGTTTCGAGCTCTGCTTGGGTGTCACGTTCCTTGGCGAGTTTACAAGGGGCGACGACGTCATTGTATCGAAATGCAGCGTGGCTGGCGTTGCACAGAGTGGTTGCCTGTTGACCACCATGCCGGTGGGCGAGGCCGACCACTTGGGTGGTCTCATGGCTGGAGACTTCCACTCGTTCATCGGAGTCACTGCGGTGCTGAATCGAATTCTTTTAGCTGGTTGCAGCGGAGTAGATCGAGATGGCGGCGTTGCACGCTGGTGTGCCGACCGCTTCGGCGTCGGAGGAGGCAACGCGACCTGCATTCTATTCGTATTGTACTGGCGCTCCCGCAGCGCAGATTCACACTGTGTAAGTGTCTTTTTGCGGCTTCGATGCCGTTCGATTGGTGGTGCTGGAGACGGCGTCAGCATGATCGTCGTCATGTTCGACGGTCGACCTGCTGGCAGCGGTGTCCGCAGCACCTCGTACTGCTTCTCGTCCTCGAAGAATCCGCTGGTTCTGTGCGGTGTTCCAGACGTGTTGACGGCATCTTTCTGCTGTGGTAGCGGCGAGAAAGTGACGGGCTTGAGCTCCGCGAGCGTGTCAATGCTCCAGTTCAGCGCTGAGCCTTCTTCAGTCTCCTCTACCGACTGCTCATCGGCCAGCGCTGCCATGAACGAAGGGAAAGGGTCTCTGTCACTCGTCGGCGAATCGAATGGGTTGCTGCTGATGTGGTTAGAGATCTCAGAACCGCCACCATATAGGCTTCTGCTTGTACGCTGCTTGCGAACGTTCGTCGATCGAGTGCTCATTGGCAAAGTTTCCTACATATTACTCTAAGAATAGTTTTGGTCCCGAGTGGCATAAAATTTGTGCCACAACTAAATAATTTCTTTCAATTTTACACGTAAAAATTTAGGGGGATAGTCAAAACAAATCCGTTATTTAACGTTATATTAAACGTGTTTTTTAAACCGGTCGATGTGAACTCGTATAAGTAAACACAAGCTTGTTTTTGAAACTGATTCGGACTTGTTTAAGTTTACACAACCAAATTCTCTGGATATTTATATCCAGTCTTAGTGGCTTCGGAAACCCTCGGATATCCTGTATCATATTATATTTGGTTACTTTTGTAATAACTCAATACCTTGAATTGACAAAAGAAGAGCTAAAGCGACGAAATTCTTTATAACCTTTTAAGATCCGATCCAAAAACTGGTGAATGTTGACCCAGTCGGACAAGAACGACATTCCCGCAACCTCACCAATTGTGTTGTCGACTTCATTGATTTTGCGCGCGCTATTCGTTGCCTAAGTCGTTGTAGCTATTTATATAACTAGCTGACCAAAAAAAGGACAAATCGTCGTTTTCAAAGTCCCACAATCGAGAACGTCCTGAGCATGGAGGCAGCTTTATGCGACCTTTGCAGCGGGGCTGCCGTAGCTTAGCGTCAGAGGAAGACGGTTAACTCAAAGAGTACAGGGGTTAACTCAACACCCTAATAAAGGTTAATAGGTCCTTAATATCCGAAGGCACCTAC